GGGCCCAGAGCTGAACACAATACTCAAGGTGTGGCCTCACTAACGCAGAGTACAGGGGAAGGATCACTTCCCTGCTCCTGCTGGCCACACTGTTCTTGATGCATTTGAGATCGTTCACCACATCATCCATACTTTCCCTAAATTATCTTCCAGCATCTACAGCTTGTAGCTGAGGGACATCCTGAGCCAGAAGAAATGTTTGTGAATTTAGGAAACTTTAGCAGACTTGTCTTCCATGAACTTCTCTGGTCTTCCCTTGTATTAATGTGAAATTTTAGTATCCACAACCTCCTGTGGCAAGGGGTTCCTCAGCTTGAAGCCAAAATGCATTAGGAGACAACTCTTTTTCTTTTTAACCAGCACTTGATGGAGACATTTGATGTCTCTCGGGACTTGTTTTGGGAACAAAGCAGTGACAAATATATTTTCTTACTTCATTCCTGACAAGATTTTATAAACCTTTACTATGTCCTGCCTAAATTCTACCAAACTGATGATGTCCAGCCTACTGAATTGACCTCCACTTTTTTTATCTCCTAAACCTTCTTCAGTTCTACCACGTTTTTCCTAAGAGATGAAGAGACAGGAACTGCACACACCCGGCATGAGCAAGAACTTACACAGCACTAGGAGAATGCTTCTTAATTGATCTTATATTCTTTTTCTAATAATTCCTAGTAGTGTTTCCTTTTTTGATGTCTAATGAACATTTAGCTAATATTTTTATGGAAACATCTATCATTACTGTAACATCTTGTTCCTGGGTGATAATAGCCATCTCAGAGGTAACCATTCCGTATGCGAAGTTACATATCTGAGCCTCACAAACCAGAATTTTAAATAACTTATTCTTGATGATTTTGAGATGCATCCCATGCTGCTCTAGAATGTTTTCTATCCAAAAAGAACTAAGGAAGACAGAGAAATGTGATAGATAATTCTCCTCTAAGCATGACAATATTTATCAGTAATAACCACACATTTGTCCTCTAGTATTATAAAATGAAGGCTAGTTTCAAAATGGGCTGGGTAATACAGACGAATCAATGAAATGCCAATATAAAGTTAAACCAAACTGCAGAGCTTTGCAGTCATTATTTTCTTTTCCCTGGCTGAGCAACTTCCTCAATTCTAATAGAGGCTCTGCAAAAATTAAGTATATATAATTAAAGAACCCAAAACAAGTTCACAAAAATATATATATAAGCAAGAAGTGAGATGAGGTTGAAATATATAGCTTAAAGCATGATAAAACCCATAATGCCTTGTACAAGACATGTTCAGATCACTTACCTCTTCTACTATCTCTTTTTATTTTATTGGGGTCTTCATAATCCCCCACCCAGTTATATTCTACTGGCATAGAAATAGGCCTTAGTTTCCCTGGAAACAGAGGAAAAAATTGAGATCATGCACCATAAGGCATCATTAAACTAACATTCTCTAGAAGAAAGAACAAATTATGTGCTAAGCTGCTATTCTACAGGGTTGCTTATGAAAGAGGATCCAGCACTGCCTCTGAGCAAGAAGCAGTAAAGTATTTAATGGATTTTTTTAAGTTCAGAAAATAAATCCAGACCCCTACAAAATCATCAGCACACTGATGTTTGAGATTGACAAACAAATTCAAATTACTTTAGTTTCCACTGAACAGTATCTATTATTCTGGAAGCCCCTGGCACACACATGAAGAGAACTGTTTTAAAGCATATGTGAATTGCTGGTAACAGAAACATGTCCACATCACTAAAGTACCTTTACAAATAGCATCTTTGCTGGTGGGCTTAAAATATCCATCAGTGGTTGAGTAAGAAAGGAAGCAGAAAACCTCTATGTGTAATTTATTTTGTAGCATTTCATCCACAGAAATCAAAGTACATTACTATTGGTAAATTCACTTTGATCTCAGACAGTAAGAAACAGAGAAAGCTGAAAACTATTATATCTTTTAAATTTTGATTTGGAAGCTGCTGAATTGATTTTTAAAAAATGCTGTGAAATACAATTTCTGCTTAAGGATTCCACAAATATAGTTGGAAATCCACTGAACGTGTGCTATGGAACTTAGTGGGGTTACTTAAAGTGGTCTGAAGATTTTAGCAATAATATATTGAAAGAAACACAGAGTATCGTATCATATGGCACAATATTTGGCAGACTAAAAACCAAATGTTTTCACAACAAGGGCAGCCCTCACTCCTTTTTGAATCAATCTACTGGTTACAAAACCAAGAAGTGGGAAAATAATTTGTTTTAAAAGTAGTAGAGCTTAAAGAAAAAACTTCAGAAATCTTGTTAATTATTTCAGTAGAAAACCCCTACATAAAGGTGATTCGTCTTATTCCACATTTTTGAGGCTAAATCCACAATACCCTGAAAAAGAAAGACATATTTATAATGAAAACAAATATTCTATCTACCTAGTGAAGTGTGATATCCATAGGAAATACACCAATATCATGCAGGCAGCACAAAATGTTGGATTGTCTTTTAAAAAAATTGACCAAAAAAGGTGTATGTTCTGTACAGACCACACGATCAGGTCACAAATACATCATTGCTCAGGAAATACAACATGTATATTTAACTTTTAATTTATCGTTTACTTTACTATTTATGGACATGCATTTAAGTCTGACTGAAGCCAGTGAGATTTAGAGCACACAGTTAAGTCATTTCCCAAGTGTGGATGTATTTAGCTCATTTTTACTTGATCAGCATTAACTTTAAACGGCTATTTTTCTAGAAATACAACTTCCTCTTCTTTGTGAGGCTGAACTCACAGTAACCTACTGAAAGGACTTTTAAGCACACTTAAAAAGACACAAAAGCTACAACATCTTGTAAAGTCTGATTGTTATCAAAAGCTATAGCCATAGCAAATTTTATACAAAATCTCTAGTTGCTCAAAGTGTATGTTTTCTGTACCTGACAGTAAAACTGCAATGACTAAGTTTGTCTTTCCTTAAACTTGAAGTTTCATTTGCCTGCTACCTCTGCTAATCTCCTTCTCGTTAATCTCCCTAGATTCCTTAAATCTGTTTTCCCTGGTGACTACACTCAGGAAAATTTCTTCCTTGGGATGTGAACAGAAGCTTTCTGAAGCCAACTAGCAACGATTATTCAGCAGCTGAAAGCTAGCAGGAGCATGAAAGAGAAATCTCTTTGTTAATATTGTCAAAAAATGTCAAAAGATTCCAAAAAAGAAATTATGGAGGGCCCTAGTAATCTCACACAAAGAAGGACTGAGAAATAATTAAAAAAAAAATTAAAACCACCACATAATTAATGATGAGTACATGTTGAAAACAATTATTTCTCTAGGCCTTGGAACTCTTTTGACCTTCTTTAATGGGTCACCATAAGCCAGAAGAGTGTTATTGTCATTTTCCAGATTTCTGTGAAATCCTAAGGTCTTGCCTAGCCACAAATCTCATGTTAACACATGCCATGTGGGAAACTTTAGAATTTAATGCTGAAATTGTAATATTTTTAGAAAATATATTTAAATGAAAAGGGACTTAATGGTATGAATTCATTAAAAAAGACATGAGATCAAAAGTGAAAGGCTGTATAACAAATGTGTTAAAGAATGACTGATTTTCAGTGCAATCTTTGATCCATGTATTTATAACCTTTTCTACTAATAGAAAAAAAGGCTAAAAACCTATCCTGTAACAAAATACTGGATTCAGCAGTCCTTGAAGAAGAAATGTGATTTTCTTTACTCTAGACCACCAGTATTAAAATTTAACATCTGGAACAGAGACAACATCTCTATTAATGGAATTGACTTCATCCACCAGTTGTAATAGTTGAAATACTGGAGTAATAAAATGGATATATCCACCTTGAAAACTTAGCAGTTATTTTATGCACTATGGGCATGGTTAGAAAACACCTGAAAACACTTTGAAATCAAAAAGGATACTGAGGATTTTGCAGCAGGATTATATAATTGTCTAGAAAGGGTGCATTTTATGAAAATGCATCCTTTAATGTTGTGCAAACACATTGCTCCAGGTCCTGAGGATACTTTACACAGCTCAAGCATAATTTATATCAAGGTTCCCAGGTGATTTTGGAGCTTGGCTGCATGATGTACTAAATCTACAATTCCTCATAAATTAAGTCTATCTTCTCAAAGGGATATGATGTCAGGATTACTATAACAACTCCATCATACAGTGATCAGTTTAAAAATTGAAATAACATAGCAAGTAGGGTGAAAATATATTCAAGTGTGTGCTCAGCTAATACCACAGTAGTAAAATTATCTTTTTTAAACATAAGATTTCCTCTTCTTTTCTTCTATAACCTAACAACTCCATGACTGCACAATTTATACTTGGCAACAGAAAACCAACTCTCCCAGTCCAAAGCTGAAACAAGTTACAATACTAGCTAAAGGAAGAGTTCCAACAGATTCAAAGGAAAAATAACCTGGAGCTTAAAGGTTTGAGGAGTAAAACCCTCATCAGAAATTGTTTCTGAGTTCTCACCTAAATAAGTAAAAATCCAAGATGTGGAAGTAGTGTGAATACACATGTGTTTATATGCAAAATTCTTTATTAGACAACATATAACCCCAAATAAAGAGGAACTGCTCATATAGGAAGTTAAAGGAGGTTTATACAGTATTACAAAAAAAGCATAATATCATCAGTCATACTTCATTTCTGGGAGTAAAGAAAAATTAAAGAGTTTTAGAGAGCAGTGCAGCATGAAAGCAGCATGTCATCTCTTGGTAAATCTTAAGTGGTTTTAATGTTTAAAACTATTATACCTGGGTAAATTTTTCTAATGCTGAATTCCTAAACCTATGCAAGTACTGCCCTTATACGGGGAGAACAATTCCATCCTGTATTTTTAGTAAAAATATATGGGCTTCAGACAGGTTTGTTTTGTTTTTGTTTTTGTTTTTTTTCAATAAAATGATACTGAAGCATAATCTGGAAAAATAAGATGATAGCAAAATTATAGAACTTACATTCAGAAAAATCCTCAATATAAAACTGGACCTGCCCTCTCTATCATAGTTAAGTAATTAATTATTTTCTTTCACAGATTAAGTCTTAGGTTTAAATTGGACTAAAGTAGTACCCAACTTAGAAAAATCAATGGCCGTCAAAAATATTTTCATGCTTAAAAACAAAAGCAGATGCACAAAAATCCTAAAATCAACAAATGGTGACTATCCTTATTAGACCAATGCCATACCATATGTTGGTGTGCTCTCTCTCCTTCCAGGACCACTTGGTCTCCCTTTCTCATATTCATAGCAATATAAAACTGCATCTTCTTCAACCACATTAAAGCGTTTCCGATATTCCTGGTCAAGAAATGAGTTTGGAGATTCGGATCCTGTATGAACCGGCTTTCCCACTATGTGTCTGCCAACATCGTCACATGGGAGATTTCCCTTTTCATCCCTTTAGTAGTAAACAAGAGAAGTTTTTAATATATTGGGACAAGACAGTTGGGTTTTTTTATTGTGAATATTTCAATAAACATGAGAATATGTCATTATTTCATACAAGCATGAAACAGATGCTATTGACCAACATCAGGATCACACATCATATATGCATACATGTGCCAGTTATCTCACACATCTCTACTTACTCAATTATTTTTTTTACAGACTGTATCCGTCTTATTGGTTTCATTTGAAAAGAGTTACAGAAATAAAGCTGATGGGCAGGTACTCTTTTTTTCTTGTTTTTTGGAATCCACCTAGCATTTTGCGATTTAGGGCAGAGAACTGTTGACCTTACTTTTTTATACTTCCATTTTAAAATACATTGGATAGTTTGAAGACACGGCTATATGTCAGGCATGAACAAATTCAATCTGGCTCCTTACAAAATAACCCCAGGCCTAGAAGTTGTATAGGTACATCCATACAATACCAACTAAGGTGTGCAGCACCTGATCATGAGCTGCTACCCTAGAACAGAAAGGCATCACAAGGCATGCACTTTGTAGTTTGCGTACAGATCCCCAAGATGATTAGTTTTTCCTTCTTCACATCCCTGTCCCACTCTCTGAAAATGCAAACTACTCAAGAGCATCAAATGAGAGCAAGCTGTACCTTGGTTAGGAGCCCTCTCTCTGCACTAAATGAACCAGGGCTCAGTAAACCTGCTAGTAGGACTGTGTAAGGAGATGGCTGCAAAAGATCTAATTGGACAGTAATTTCTGGGCAGCAAAACGCATGGGAGGCAGTCAAGAGAGAAGCTGAGGCCTCATGCCCTCATTGGAGTACTTCTGCCCCTCTGGATTGCCATGTGAGTTCCAAGTTGGCCAGCATGTTAACCCATTCTTCCCTCGGCACCCTAAGAGTCCATCTGAGGATGAAGCAAAGCCTCCTCATGGGATCCAGGCAGCCACAGAGGATAAGAAAGGGCCATCCTGCTTGGCTGAGACAGCACAGCACCACAAAACCTCATTGACCTCTATGCTCACTTTGCCAAGCTGCTTTCCGAGAGCAGGGAGGTGTTGACTTAGCGAGGGGGGCTGGTGCAGCCCCATCAGGGCTGTGAACTCATTTCCAGCCATGGAAAGACTTTCTGTGGTAACAGCGCTAGGAGACCCTGGCAGGTAACACGATGGAGACTGACATAAAAGAGCCAGATGCTAATCGGCGCTGCAGCTACCAGCAGGAGCTGGCACAAGGAAGCCTCTGTGATGAGGAGGGTAGCCTGAGCTGGAGAAAACTTTACTGTGAGCACAGAAAGAAGTGCAGAGCCACCAGACAGACACCCTTTACCACACCCTCTGGAGATGAGGGTTTCAATTTCATCCATAAAGGTGTCCATCAAACTTGAGTAGGCACTAATTTATCACCAGCACTTCTAAGTAACCAGCACACACAAAGTGTCGATCCCTCTTTCTCATACCATCCATGTCTGGTTATGTCAGCAGTTGTACTATCTGTGATTATGGTCAGCAAGGTGGTACGGCTTCAGTGTTTTACAACCCACACAAAAGCATTAAATCTTTTACTCTGTTTCAGTAACAAAAGGAGGGTTTGTTTGGTTGTTTTTTTTTCCCCCTTGGAACAGCAACAACAAACTGAGAAACAGATGCTGAACAGTTTGACAATACACAAAATAGAGACATTGTGTTAGGTTTGTGTGGCAAGGTTTTGGTAGTGAGGACGGCATAGGGGTGGCTTCTGTGAGAACCTGCCAGAAGCTTCCCCTGTGTCCGACACAGCCAATGCCAGCGGTTACAAGACGGACCCAGAGCTGGCCAAAGCGGAGACCTGCTGGCCAAGGCCAAGACAATTAGCAATGGTGGTAGTGCCTCTATAATAAAATAATTAAGAAGGGGAAGGAAAAAAACCTCAAAACCTGCTCAATTGCAGACAGAGAAAGGAGTGAGAATATCTGAGAGAAACAACCCTGCACACACCAGGGTCAGTGAAGAAGGAGGGGGAGGAGGTGCCGCAGGTGCCAGAGCAGAGATTCTCCTGCAGCCCATGGTGAGGACCATGGTGAGATAGGCCATTCTGCTGCAGCCCATGGAGATCCATGGTGGAACAGATGACCACCTGTAGCCTGTGGAGGTGGAGGTCATCCACGCCAGAGCAGGTGGATGACCAAAGGAGGCCGTTACCCTGTGGGAAGGCTGATCTGTAGCAGGCTCCTGGAAGGACCTGTGGCTTCATGGAGAGAAATGAGCTCACACTGGAGCAGGTTTGCTGGCAGGACTTGTGACCCCGTGGGGGACCCACACTGGAGCAGCCTGTTCCTGAAGGACTGCACACCATGGAAAGGACCCACACTGGAGTAGACAATTAAGAATTGTAGCCCATGGGAAGGACTCATGCTGGAGAATTTAATGGAAGATTGTCTCCTGTGAGAGGGATCCACGCTGGAGCGGGGGAAGAGTGTGAGCAATCCTCTCCCTGTGGAGGAAGGAGCGGCAGAAACAACGTGTGATGAACTGATCGCAACCCCTATTGTCTGCCCCCCTGTGCCACTCAAAGGGAGGAAGTAGAGCAATTGGGAGTAAAGTTAAGCCCAGTAAGAAAGGAGGAGTGAGGGGGAAGGTGTTTTAAGATTTTGTTTTATTTCTTATTATCCTATTCTGATTTGATTGGTAATAAATTAAACTAATTTCCCCAAGTTAAGTCTGTTTTATTGGTGATGGTAATTGACAAATGATCTCCCTCTGTCCTTATCTTGACCCATGAGCCTTTCTTTATATTTTCTCTCCCCTGTCCAGTTGAGGAGGGGGAGTAATGAAGCAGCTTTGGCGGGTACCTGGCATTTAGCCAAGGTCAACCCACCACAGACATGCTTAAATATAGTTAATCATAGACAAAAAACCTGATTAAATGACAAACCAGTTTATTCAGAAACACTGTACACTGTGTGACAGCTTTTTTGAAATGAAGTGTAGTCCATTAGGATTAAGCTGACAAAAATTTCAAACGTACATCGTTTAATCTCTCTGTAAGATTACAGCTTGTACTAATATGTATTATAAGATTTAGGAATTGGTTCAAACTACTGCATTATGATCACGATTAAGAAATCTTATTAATAAATAGGAGAAGATCTTGATTTCTGAAGCAGAACTCAAAAACTGCTGAGCAGTGAATGTTCACTAAAAATACTTCAAAAAAGAGGATGCATTTCTTATCAAATAAAAGTATTTTTGTGGTGGTAAACATGATCAGCAGCAATACAAAGGCACTACTTCTTTTAAGATAGTACAGTTTCACTTTCAGGAATAACAGGTCTTTACCATATAACTACTGCATTCAAAGAGAAACTTAAGAGTATGTTTTGGTTGGGGTTTCTTTTTGTAGCTTTTTTTACATTAATACGTTAGAATTAAAGACTTTATTTTTTTCTGTGGATTTTCTGAGAATCATGTCCTTAAAATATTTACATAGATTTAACAAAATACTGTTATCAGAGAGATAAAAGACACATTCAATCCCTATGAACAAGTCAAGTGTCATAACTGACAATGTTTTTATTTAATCAGAAGAAAAAAAAAAAGTAGTGAACCAGACTATGTATTCTGTTTGTCTTCTTGTCACTTTAAGATAGATAGATAGATAGATAGATAGATAGATAGATAGATAGATAGAGTAATTATCTTAGCAAGTTCAACTGTACTATATGTGTCACATTTGAAATAAAATAGCAATTTATTTTTTCAAGAAATAAAAGCCAAGCCAGGTAAAAGACATGGTAGGGATGAGGAAAGAGCATGGGACTCAGTTTACGGCTTCACCATCATCTAAATCATGAAGTAGAAAGTCACTCTGTTGCCCTGGAAGGTTTTTCCTATCTCTGAAAACTAAGAATTTATCATAGAATCACAATTTCTCCTCCCCACTAGGCAATTTAATTAGCCATATACCTCAGTCTTGGATAACCTCCAGGAAAGTCTTGTCATATCAGGTCATACAACTTCTTAATTGGTGAAAACAGTTACTGATAAGAAAGCCTAAGAAAAACTCAGCTACAAAACTCAGGTACAAAAAAGGACATGCTGCCCTTACAATCTTTCCAAGAAAGTTAAGTAAAAGAAAACAAGAAGTAATTTAAAGATACATTGACTGGGCATATGATAGCCTGTGTCTAAGAACATAGAAGAGTTAAAAATACTGATTCCTCTTAAATGTATTCCTAGACCTCTGGGTAGCTACTTCTGTGTTATTCATAGGCCATAATTATCTCAGAATTTTAGGAAAGTAACATCTGTGTACATTATGGAATTATACTGAATCATTTGAGGTCATATGAGAGTTGGGTGATGAATCTGTAAGGAGGATTAATCTGCTACTTTTCTGGCTCAGCAAGCCTAGAGACCTGGGAGAGATGAAAATGCCTGTTCCAGGTGGCAGGTCAGAGTAGTAGACATATTTGCAGAGAACAACATGGTCACTGAAGAATCTAACAGAGTGAACACACTAAAACACAATCTTGAAATTTGCTCTAGCACTATCACATCAAATATATTTTAAAAAGAAAACACTATGGCAGAACAAAACGGTGCTCTTGTTGAAGCTGAAAGTTTCTTTCTTTTAGCTCAGCCTCCCTTGTTGTATCGTGGTTATTAGGCAAGAGGACAGATATGAACTCTTTTCCTAGTTACAGATTCAGGTTTTCAGAGAATTTTTTCTTTTCTGAAATAGGATGAGACTGTTACAGACAGTAAATTACTCCATATTTGAGAAAACAGGGTACTGAACCTACTTTTCTAAAGGTTACTGTCTGTTTTGCAGACAAGACACTGATTCAGATCACTGTGGGTCTGATTCAGCGTATCTACCCTTAATAACCAGTTAATCTGCAATATTAAGTATTATCAACCTAATCCCGCAGGGCAAGGTGATAAACAGGTAGGAACAGAATGGTCAATTACTTTACAAATATTTTGTACACTGAATTGTACCTGAAATGATCTTTTTTACCTTGGAACATAAGGTTCTGTTGGAGGAGGGGGTATGTAGAGGTCCTGAAGGGCAGAGCTGTCTCTTTTTGTAGGTGTGCTGATAGTGCTGGATGGGGTAGCAACACTGCTTGTAGGACTTCTAGGAATAAGAGGCTGGTTCAAAAGAGAGAAAGAAATAATAAAGATTATCCTTATGTATTATACATTTTTTATTTGAAAAAGCTATAAACATTCTATAGTTTGGAAAGTTAAAGAAACAGTTAACAGTTCTCTTTTGTGTGCTTTTACACTGACTGAAAACACTCATGCTGAGGAGATAGATCTACAAATGAACATGTATTGTGCTTATAAAATTGACTCCTCCAATTACATATTTTTCCCTTTTGCACAGCAAGATTATTGCCAATGCCTATAAAAATAGTAATCAGTAGAGCCACTGGTGAAATCTTAATGCATAAATAACATACAGAATCCAGTGAATTCCTTAATTAAACTAACATTGTAAAGAAAAAGTCTAGTGTTTACAGTAAAAGGTGCATAAGTAGACATTAAACTGAATGCCATCTCCCCCCATCTGCTCTACAGCTTAAGATTTAAGTGTAAAAGCTTCAGTTTATGTCTGTAGATGCTGTAAAATCAGGTACTGCATCCTCAGAGAACATGCGCTATGAGACAGAAAAAATGGAGATTACTATTATTCTTCTTCTTCACTCCCCTGAGCCCACTCCTCACAAAGTAATATTTACTTAGGACTAAATAAATTGTACACTCCTTGCAGAATAATAATGCATTCTAGCTATCATCCCAGTCCAAATAGGATCCTTCCTCTTAACCACCTCTCCCCACCCCCTCTCTCTCATGAACTAGACACCCCTTTTTCTTCCTCAGCTTAACCATCTCACCTAGCTAAATTTGAAGACTTTACTAAATCACTGTAGGGCTGCAAATTATAGCAAGATCTTCTAACAGTCACTATACAGATACAGAAAAATGAAATCAGAATAAAACTTTCTTTGCTTTAGTCTACTTAACTTGTCTAATAACAAGCCTTATGTTCCTTGGCTTCTGTAATAGTTAAACTCAAGCAGAAGACAAAAAAAGCAAAACAGGATCTTTGTATACCCTACAATTAATCTAATATCAAACAAATGCTGAATTTTGCTTTGAAACTCTTCTTCTCCATCTTTCTGGAAGTAAACTCCTTGAAGAAAGAAGTATTGGGATTAAAGAGAGCTCACCATACCTATAATTTCTAACCTAAATAACTACTGGAGGACACAAACATTTCACATTGTATTGATGGCAGAGAAACCTCTAAGTAGTGACTGAACAGGTGCCTAGAAAGATCCTTCTGCCAGCACTATTAAGAATTCTTTATG